GCAATATGACCCTTTGAGTGACAGCGAAAACACTCGACAAAGGAATTGTTATGGCGGGAAGCAGGAACTATAGCCTCACTAGGCTGCTTAGAAGTATTACCCCTTAACCCAATTGCTTGAGTAGGTGTAAAAGACGAGCTAGGCCTAGATGTAAGTGTTCCTGTTGGTCGTTCAGACATACTGGAAGTTCGTGCTTGTCTAAACAGATTGCTCTGCATGTCGATACGCTTTGCAGACGAGTACTGTGACAGAGACTCTACTTCTAAAGTCTTATGATAAGCTTCTTCAAGAGACTCTGGAAAGTTTAACTTGAGCTCCTTCTGTAGATATGGCTTGAGACCATTAACAAACTTGGTAATGACGCGCCATTCCTCTTCATCCACGTCACATCTAATCATAAGTCATCGAATTGAGAAATATACTCGGAAGCTGTGGAGATTTGCCTCAAATTAAGGTATTTGTCATACAGTTGACTCTTATAATGAGTCGGCACATATTTTTCTTTCAGCTTGGCCTTCATTTCATCCCACGTCTCAATCGGTGGATAACCTTGTCGCTCAATGTTCCTTTGGACATTTTGCCAATATTTCCTAGCAGATCCCACGAGCTTCATCTTCGTAAACCGAACTCGCTGAATATCTCTCATGTCATACCATTCAAAATAGTCTTTCATGCTAGCTAACCAATCCAGGAATGCACTAGGATTCAATCGTCCATCAAACTCAGGAGCTTCAACTTTAACCTTTTTGGTGATGTCATCAATATGTGTCCTTCTAAAGCCTTCTCTACCATTCCTATGGACTAACTGGTATGGTCTATGATGTTGTTCTTCAGGCCCTTGCCCATCCCAAGTATCATCTATGTCATCAGAATGATGATTGGTAAACTCATGAGGAAATGTTCTACTGTGTCTTTCACCCATAGCTCTAGAGGAATGACCAATCCTAAGGGAATTACCTCTAAGTTGATTACGGATTGGGAATTGTTCATTTTTAAGACTTGACTCTCCTCTAATGATAGGTCTTTCGAGTATCCCTTCAGTTGTTTTCCCTGTATCTTGTCTGTATGTCAACTGAATTGCACCCATTATCTCTTTAAATTTATTGTCCATGAATTCTTTAATTTCATCTAGCCGCTGGTCCACATATGCCCTTTGAGTCCTTTCAGATTCCTCAAGATGATTTTGGGTGATTTGGGAGTTATTAGCCATGACAGATTTTAGGGCAGTAATTTCTTGGTTTAATAAAGCTTGCTTATCGTATAAATCACGAATGGTCATACAATGACAAAGATGGTATGGTAAAGTGCAAGTTTGGTGTGGATTTAATAACCTAAGGAAGAAAGGCCCCCAAGTTGCCCTTACCTAAATAGGTGAAGTCCCTTCTTTAACACACTAACCCTCTGAGAATTCAAAAATTCCACAGGGATCGTATGCTAAATAGGTAACAACTCGAGTGAAGTCTTCACAGAAATCTCCAAAGGTTCAAAAACCTTTCAGGAAAACCGTTAGAAACTTCAATTAATCTAGGGTAATTTTTGGACACGAGTATAGGGCAGGATTGTGTGTGAGGTAGGTGTCTTAGGTTATACGAACACTGCTATCAAAAGTCACAAATTAACAACATAATGATCAATGTAAATTTTCCTTTTTTTTTATACATTTATATATTTTCAAAATATTAAAACATGATTAAAAAAATAAAAATAAAATAAAAATTGCAATGCTCAAAGAAACCAAAGTACCACACAACAAAGATTTCAGAACTAGCTATGAATGAAACACCTCCCTTTAAGAACCAAGTAAGCCAGTTAAATGAAAGGGTCGTCAGCCTTACCAGCGTTGCTTTAGGAGCTCAAAACAAAAAGTTTTACCCTCAAATAAGTTTTAGATGATGACTTGCGCCCCTCAGCTCCTTCAAAGTTGAACAAATTCCGCGAAAACACACAGAAAACACTGAAATCACGTTTCTGGCGGCGACTGTACGGACGGCGCGTGTGGCGGTGCATGAGGAGAGTGAAGACCACGCGCAGAAGCTCCACCGGCGCGTGAAGGCGCGTGTGACTTCAGGCGGAGGTGGTCTTTTTGGTTCTGACCGGATTTTCCCTTCTGAGCACGATGGTAGCGTCCGTTTTTGGATGACGTCGGGAAATGTGATTCTGGGTGCTGGCAGCGTGAACAGAGTATGCTGAGCTCCCCTGAGAGTTTTCCTTCGATCTCCGGCCGCGGAAACAGCCTAGGAACGTTCAGAACCAAGCTCTGGTACCAAGTTGATGTAAAACACACACACTCACATTGATTTAAACATAATAGGATGAGGAAAAGAAACAGAATCAGAGAGTGAGAGGTGAAGGGGGAGGGAAAACAAAGGGGAGAGATGACAGAAAACAGAGAAAGCAGGGGAAGTGGAGAGGGACGCAGAACTGATAGATAGGGGAATAGAACAGCAATTCATTCCAACTCTCAGAACTCCCTTACATGTGCTGCATGGTGGCTTTTTATAGAAGCCACAATTAAGGTTTCCTTCTTATGAAGGAAACATAAAATGAAATAAAATATAAGTTTGAGGTTTCCTTCCCTATAAGGAAAGCTCAACTTGCAATTTAAATAAAGAGTAAAACAAACAAAAGCAGGTCAGGTTTCCTTCCTTTAGAAGGAAACTTACAAAATACTAAATAATGCAAAAACAATTATTTCTTTCTAAAATAACATTTGCCATATTTTCTATCAGTGAGTTATGATGTGAATATTACTTGTATATATATATATATATGATATTGCATTGTGCTGAGAGTGCCCCAGTGAAAGGTATGTGAGTAGGCCTAAATGCGAAACAATCAAGTGTATGATATTGTAACTTGTTCCACTAAAGTATATATGTGTTAATTGTGATTGATTATTTGAATTGAATGTGTATTGTGTTGTGATTTGAGAAATAAACACAAATGGTAAGGCAGATCCCCATTCGAAATATTCGAGGACATTTATGACTCCCGACCATATGGTGAGGTAGAGCCCCATATGTGAAAGTCAAAGGGTTGGAAGTGGAACAAGTCTAGTTGTATATATGATTATGTGTTATATATGTGTTTTCCTCACATAAGACCATAAGTGTGTAATGTAATTTTAAGAGGCCAAAATGGACTATTGATGTGATATTTGATATGTATGATGTTAATCAAGTGTATGTGGTCCTTTTGAACTTGGTTCAAGGCCCGAAGTGGTCTCATGGGACAAGGAGTGAGAATTGAGCACTTAAGGTGTGAGTTTTTAAAAGAAAATGTGACTTTTTGCACTTGGGTGTTCAATTTTAGATTGAATTGTTAGATCAAGTCCAAACTTGTTCCATTAGCTAGTAGACATCATAAGCGTCATCTGGGTACTTGAATTACTCCAATCAGATATCGGATGTGAAAATGACGCACGTCAGAAGTTTTGTCATTTTGCTATCAAAATGACAATAGAATTTCAAACAGGCGCACCGCAATACATGATGCAGTATGAAATAGAGCATGTGGTTTTGTGCCACATGTCGTGGCACACATGTTGCACGTCGCGGTATACGGCCCATTTTCAAGGTTGAGGATTTGTGATGTTTTGAGTCTTATGATTGTGTTTATACTATCACTAACTCTCTTATTTGAATACATGTTTTGAAAAGTTAGGATCCAACAATTTTGAAAACAAATAAAGGACTATTATTTTGATTTTCTATTGTTCATTGGATGATGTGAAATGGTAAAGCTCAGATTGAGACGAGACTTTATAGTGCAGATTTGGAGACTTTACAATATCATTTATGATGATTGCTGTAAACCCAAAAAACCTCAAAGTTGGGTTCAAAATTGTAGCTTGTGCTGATTGTAGTCTCTTAGGCAAGGATAACAAGCTGAACTAAAAAACTTTAGACTATTGTAATATGGTATTTTGACAAACAACTTCTGATAAGGAGGGATACCACCCGGGACTAGTGTAGGAAGTTTATTGATGAGTTCCATGGCAGTGTGAAATGCCTCCGACCAATAGAATAATGGCATGTAAGCTTGAGCTAATAAGGTTAAGCCCATCTTAACAATATGTTTATGTTTCCTTTCCACCTACCATTTTGAGGAGAGGTATGGGGACAAGAGTGTTTAAAATGAATTCTAGCATCTTGAAAACTTTAGTAAAACTTCTACATTCACCCCCCAATCATTTTGAATGGCTTTGATTTTTCTATCAAAGTAATTCTCTACAAACTGTTTGAATTTTATGAACATTTGCAAAGCCTCATCCTTAGTTTTAAGAGGAAAAATCTAGCTCTAATGGCTAAAGTCATCCAAAAATAGAATGTAATAGCAATATCCATTGAGAGATTATATGGGTAAGGGTCCCCATAAATCAGTATGAATCAAGTCAAGTGGATAAGAAGCATGAGAAATATAAACCTTAAAGGGAAGAGTGAGACTTGCTAAAATTGTATGATTCACAAAATAAAGGTTCACTATTCTCATTAACTTTAACATTACAAGTACTAATAACTTATTTCAAAATTCGATCATTTAGATGACCAAGCCTACAATGCCAAAGTCTTCTAGTTGAAATTAAAGAGGAATTTGAACTATCAATCTTTCCACTAGTGTTGTTATCCATAACTTGATTAGCCGAGAATGCTAGATGAGAGTTACTAGCACCTGCTTTCTTACTTTTGACTTTCTTAGCAGTAACCTTATAGAGACCTCCATCACTTCTCACCCCCTAAAGTAGAGTTGTTTTTGTCCCCTGTTTTCTCACAAGAGCAGATTAAGAGTTAAGAACCACGGTAGCACTATGGCCATAAGAAATCTTAGGAATACAAAGTAAATTTTTCTTAACCGTGGGAGCATAAAGAATGTCATTAAGAACAACACATTGACCAAGCACATTTTGGATTTTTGGAGAACCAAACTATGCAACATCCCTATGTTGACTATTAGCAATCAATAGTCGAATCTTACCATTATTTTGCATAGCATTATCTAACCTTGAGGCATCATTAGTGACATGGGCGGTAGCACCACTATCAAGGTACCAAGACTCATCATTAACAACCTTAGGTGAAGCATAGAAGATCGAGTTCTGGTTGAATCAGTTGCCTCAAATGAATTCTTGTTGCTATTGGTGAAGCTTGAAGGCTTGTAAGATCGATCAAAATGCTTGAAACAGTTCTGAACATAGTGCCTTTGCTTTTCACAAAGAGCGTAATAAGGTCTCTCACCATGTCCTGATCTCCCTTTACCTCTAGTGTGTCCACTATGTCCTCCTCGCCAATTTCCACGAGAGGAGTAAAAAATAGTCAGATTAACAAATTGAGTTGTGACACTACCTTGAAAATTTGTTAAAGCTACTCAAGATGAGATTCATAAGTAAGGAGAGTAGATTGAAACTCAATACAGCTTATATCCTCTCCTTTGATAGTTGGGATTGTATTCCCCATCTAAACCAGCAAGAACTTGAAGAAGAAAATCAAAATAAGGCACGATGTTGCCAGCAAGATTGAGACTCTCAAATAATGACTTCATTTTAGACAAATAATCATGCATAGACGCATAACCCTTACAAGTACGCTAGAGTTTAGATCTCAATATGAGAACACACTACTACAAAATAAGCTTTTCGGAGCGCTTATTTTTGGCTAACGGGAGCACTTTTAAAGTGTTGTTGTAGCCAGCGCTCCCATATTAAGCGCTCCTATAACTTGAAGATATGGGAGCGCTCATCTAAAAAGCACCCCCCATAATTGTAACATACAGGAGCGCTTTCTGTCAAAGTGCTCTTGTAATGTTGAGAAAATTTAAAAAAAAATATACGTACGGGAGCGCTTTCTAACTAAGCGCTCCTAAATGTTGACATACGGGAGCGCTTTCTAGAAGAGCGCTCCCGTATGTATCTATAGGGGAGCGCTTTTCACATGAGCGCTCCTATATGGTATTATTTTTCCTAATTTTTAAATTTTTCTACACATTCTCTTGCCATTACAAATGACTAATCTAGCAAAATAAAACTAATCTAGCACAATATTAAAAGTTGTATACAACTAAAAAACTTGAAATTAGAACAAACTTAAATCAATTTTCTAACTTATATAATCTCTAGCTAGTTTAACAAATGAAACTAATTACCTATCATTAGAAGCTAGTTAATATAATGTTAATTACACAATATTAGTATTTTCCTAACATTAGAAGCTAGTTACCTATCATCACAAACAACCAATTATATATTCTAACCACTCCTCACTTACATGTTCTATCTCCATAATAAAATGCGAGGATCTTGCGTCCCGCAAAATGCTACATGAAAAATGAAACCAACATATAAGTAATTAACATTATATTAATTTAATTTTAAAACACTTTCCTTTATAGTAAATCAAGCATAATAACAAAATTATCAATAAATATATAATTTTACCCTATATAAAATTTCAACATCTCAATATACACTACAGTTTACATAACTATAATGTAGACATACAACCTGAGTTTATAAGAATTTTCTTTGTCATTTATGTCCCTTTTTATTTATCATTAGATTCCTAAATATGACATCCTAATTTTTTATTATTATTTCCACAGTACCAAAATAATCACATCAATCTTACACCTCCTTTCACAGGCAATATTAATTACAAAAAGTTACCTTGCATTTTGTAATAAAACCATGCTCATAAATGAAGTCATCACTAAAGAACCAAAGGATCTTTTAGAGGCTTGTTTTTTGACATAACAAAATGGTAATACAAGTTCCTGCAAAAATAAGAATAAAAAAGTAAGAATTTAACGTACCCAAGAGCTAGAAACACAATTCAAGTCTTCTATATCAAGGAAAACCAGCATTCACTTCATGAAATAAACTAGATGGAGCATAACAAAGCTGATTGGATTAAACACAGCAGAATTGTTTGAAAAATCACAGACCTCGAAACTTGATCAATTAACAAGTTGGAGCAGATTTGTAACCTATATCAAGACTTTCTCCCTATAACTTTGTTTAACATCATACATTAACTAATGGAAACATTAAAGAGACTAATAAAAAAATGTCATTGATTCTAAAGTCATTGCATTTCCATATCAGATTTACAAAAAGTTCTTCAGCACTTAAAATGAACTTAAAACGCATCTTAATTGGCATCAACATCATTTCTATATTAGAAATAATTAGAAAATTACCAGCATAAACAGAAAGTATCAATAGCATTCAATACAGGAAGAAAATGAAACATTGCCTACCTTTCTATTCATGGTATGGCGTGAGATCAATGTTGAATTTTTGCTTCCCTTTGCTTACCCTCTAAAATATAGCAAAGAATAATTAATCAAATATATAGATTCGAAATTGTAAATATTAACAACTAAAATAGTCACTTCATATTTGAAAAGAACCTACATGGGATATGAATAGTGGAACAAAAAATCAGAGTATTAAGAGAACGTCTAGCTAATAGAACTCAATAGCAATTGTTCTTTTAGTTAATCATGAATAATATTCAGTCATCAAAACAGGGTAGGAAGATCTTAGATATAAGTATATTAAACAAATTGCATAATATAATTAGAACCATTTAGACCGTGCACTACTTTTAAATTATTAATGAACAGCTTTGCATGGCAAAGGATATAGTTCTAATAAACACTTCATCCTTCAAGTTATTCTCAAAGAAAGGCAAAAAAAAAAATCTAAAAGAAACTAGGTTCACACAGCAAGGTGTTACCATAAAACCAGAAGAAAACATGCATATAATATTTCAAGGGTCGTATAAATTCAAATATTAATAGGAGGCCATGATTATTCTTGATAACAAATAGATGATTATTAATGGAACTACCTTTGCATCCTTTAAATCATAGGGCAAATTTACTACTGCGGTTGGGGTCTTTAAAATACCATTGAAAATGAAGAAACGAAACCAAAAAATGACAGCAAGCATTATAGTAGATATTATGCTGAATCCACATCCCTTAATACTAAGAAACCCTCAACCTCCACAAATGAAATTAAAGACAAAACAAGATAGAGATTACTATGGTGAGTGATGGAAATCTGATCGTATCGATTGAGGCAAGGTAAGAATGGTGACTTACTTTATGAGGTATTCGAGAATCGAATTAGATATAATCCATCCTGAAGAAAGCTTAAATATTACTTGGGTTGCTGAGATTGCTTCAAAGAACAGCAAATAACATTAATTAAAAAAATGAAGAAGAACAATACTTACCGAAGAGCGTGTCACAGAAGAGATGGAGAGAAGAAGGGATGGTACCAAACAGCAGCTTAGCGATAGAGCAACAGTGTGGCGGTGATGGCTTATGGTGGAGGAGCAGTGACGACACTGTAGCAATTTAGATCTGTACAGATCTGAAGCCCAGGATACAGACGATTTGACGCAGAAGCTTCACGGACGAACTGACGAGATGGCTAATGGTGAAGCTGTGCGACGATGGCTGACGGTTGTGAAAGAGGAGTCGGTGCTAGACAGACGGCTGTGACAGAGAAGGGCATTGCTCGAAGGTTTTTGTGCGAGGAGGGAGAGGGGGGCGCTAAGAGAGTCGAAAAGTCGAGGGAGGTTGGGGTTTGATTAACTTTATAGTGATTTTAAAAAAATAATAATAATAAGAAATTCAGAGCGCTTTGCAGTGAAGCGCTCCCATACATAAATCCTACTCCAAAAGCGCTCCGCTAGGCTATATCCAAAAGCGCTCCGCTAGGTCATATATTTAGTTTTTTTAAAGTGCAATCTATAGAAATGCTTCTGTATATTATAATTATATTTTTAAAAAAAAAATTATGTGACCTACCAGAGCACTCCTATATGTTCTATATATCAAAGTTCTTTTTTTTTAAAGCACTCTCATATGTTTCGCCTTTATATTTTAGAGCGTTTTTTATGTAAGCGTTCTGAAATAGGCGCTTCTATAAGTTATTTTTATAGTAGTGACACGAGTCTTATTGTGTGCACTTGCAATGGCATATGCAACTTGCCAAAGACCAAAAGAAGTAGAGACGGAGGTCATTTTAGAGGAGACATAAATGCTTATAAAGTTAAGAAGCCAACCAAAGAGAAGTTGGTCAGTAGCAACCCAATTTTTAAACTATAGATTGAGTTTTGAGACATTATTTTCAACCAAAAACTAGGGTGGATAGGAGCTAGAGCCATTGGTAAACCCCTCTAACTTGTGACCCTTGATAATAGGCAAGACATGGGTTGCTCACAGGGATTAGTTGGTCTAATCTAGACACACCGAACAACTTTGAAAAGGACCAGACGAACCTATTGAGAGTTTTGGCAGGTTTGTAGTAGAGACTAGTGAGCTGTGAGTAGAAGTAGGAGTCTTTAAAGTGGATTGGGAACCTTCGTTAGCCATGGCAATAAAGCTGTAATGGCTCTGATATCAAGATAATAAAATAGCAAGTATATGGATGTGATAGAAAGGTGCATAGAGCCCCATGAATACATTACTATATATAAGGTTTAAATGGAAACCCCAATGCATCAAATGTAGACATGTGTTACATCATAAAGAATAAATAATTACAATTAAAAATATACAAGATAAATATCTATTATGAACATATTGGGCTATAAGCAATTAGGGCTTTATTACTATTGGGCTTAGACAAAATTGAATTGGGCTCTATTGTCTTGACACTTACTAATACTTAATTTCATCTTCTCTTTTATGGATCATGGTTTTTCATGTTTGGATCTTTAGTCACTGTTGGTGCAATGCTTGGAGCTATAACAAATGCTTGGATCATTGATTTTATTGGCAGAAAAGGGGTGTGGTTACATTATAAGGAGTTGTCTTATATTCTTACTAGTACTTAGAATGTTAAAAATGTATCATTTTATTTTGTGAGTCTTACAATTTTTAAATCTTGGAATTATGGTTTGTTTTGTTATGGAATGTCAATGGAGTAGGCTTGAGCAAATGGAAAAGTTTCTTGTACGCCTAACTAGCACCTTTATTGTCACTTGTGCTAGGTGATAAAACATTATCTTACACTCCATTACCACAAAATGAACTAAAAATGTATTAATTTGTAAAAATTTTCATAGTTGACAAGTGCAAGTCTATATTACACTACAAAAAAACAGCTAATTAGCTAATCAGTAAAAATTTTGTCACTAAACAGGTTAGCAACTAAATATTTTCATTGGTAAAAATACCCTCTCTAATTAGCGACTAAATTGCATTTCATTGCTAATTAGCAACGAACTAATGATGAAAAATTTTCGTCTCTAAATAAAGAAAAATTATTTTGACTTTATGATGGAATGCATTCTGTCATTAATTTGTCGCAAATTTCTCAATGGACTTATTCCATTGTTAATTTCGTTGTAGGTTGGCCTAAATATAAATGCCACGTTACTCATGTGGAACAATGCAACCTTATCACCACTTCATTGCCACCTCATTGTGACATCATTTGTTATTGTCATGTCAAATATTATTATTTTTAATTGTGCTTTGACCAAGTTTGAACTCTTAACCTCACACTCCCTAATGTCTTTGCGTTCACCTTATTGCTAGTTGAGCTGAAATGAATCTTTAATTTTAATTGATAAATTAAATATATAATATTTAACCACATACATATATATATTAATAAATATATTATTTAAATTTACTTATTTTTAAAATTATATTTATTTATTAGGATGGAAAAATTAATTTATATATAATAATTATTTCTATTATATTTTATTTTAAAAATTATTTTTGATAATAAATTTAATATTCAATTGAAAAATATTTTACTATCATTGCATATTATATTATATTATAATTTTTATCTATATAATATATAATATTTTAAATTTTTAAATTTTTATTTATTAATATTTTTTTAAATAAGAATAATTAAGTATACAATTTAAATTATTATTGTCAATACTATATAAATAATTCAAATTCAAATAAAAAATTATTTTAAATTATAATTTTTATTAAATTATATATTTATTGCATAACAATAAATTACTCCCTCCATTAAAAAATGTAAGGTATTTTTAATTGAATTTCACTCTCAATAAAGTAATTACCTACTTTTCAACTAACTCTATCTTTTATATTTACCCTTATTAAACACCTTATAATAAATATAAAGTCACTATCAATATGAACACTTTAAAAAAAAAAGCAATGATTACACCTTGAAGGATTTAAAATACCTTACATTTTGAATATCCAACTCCTCAAAAAATACCATATAATTTTGAATGGAGGGAGTATATATAAATATATATTATAATTAATAAAATTAAATTAAAAATAATTTGTAATAGAATTAGCAAAGGAATGATGCTAGAAAGCTAAGTGATAGAAATTTCCATCATTAAATTAGGATAAGATATCCTAAGAAATTAGCGATGAAATTTTTTGTTGGTAAATTCCATTGCCAAATTATTTCTAATGGATTAGTGACGGAATAATGACAAAATTTTAGTTACGAAACATTCCGTTGCTAAATTTTATCTTTATTTTAGCAATGAATTAGTGATTGAAATTTATTTCGTCTCTAAATTTTGTAATTAAATCGCTATTTTTTGTAGTGTTATTTGATTATATATATATATATATATATATATTATTTCTTACAATTTTCTTATATGAAACTTGTGCAATTTACTTAGATTAATTCTCTCACATTTAAATTACTATACATATAATTATATACAATTTCAATGAAAGAAATTTGTGTGGTAATTTTTCTGACAATACATTGTAAACATGATTTTGAAATAACAAATATAATTACATTGTATGTAATTCAAATACAAAAGCACATAATTCACATTTTTTACGTCAATTTTTTTTTTAAAAATGAATCTTAATGTTCATGAGTTTATTTATAACAAAAGGAACATTAATTTTTGCGTTGAAATATTCTAAATGTTGATCTCTAAAATATTTTGCTTATTTGTCTCATGTGTAATCCATTCAATGCATGGAAGTTAATCTAGTTGTTATTAAAATAGGAATATTTAATAGTTTTTTATTGAATGAAACTTGTTATTAGTCTTTGCCTGTGAATAAATTTCTTGTCAGGTCCTTGGATATGATTCTAAAAAAAAACATGTCTTCTATAACATCTGATATTTTTATTTTAGGATTTTGGTAATTTTGGGATGTAATTTTATGGTAATTGAAATTTACCAAGTAATTAATTGAGTGAGGTTATTTTATTAAAAAAGAATAAAAAATATAATTTTTAAAAAAGAAAAGTCATTAAAGGAGTAGGGAGTATTAAAAAATATTTCAAATAAATAATTCAATTACTGTGTTACAATTAGTTAAAAATATACTCCATCCGTTCAAAAATATAAGACATTTTGAACCGAATCTCACCTCTAATAAAGTAGTTACCTACTTTCAAATTAACCCTATCTTTTTATATTTATTCTTATCAACCATCTTATAATAAATATAAAGTCATTATCAATAAGGGCACTTTTGAAAAAAAGGCAATGCTCACATCTCGAAAGATTAAACATGCCTTACATTTTTTAACATCCAACCTCTCAAAAAATATTTTATATTTTAAAACAAAGAGAGTATTTAAATGAAATGAAAAATTGAATCCAAATTTTAAATGCTCAAAGATCCAAAAAAAAAAGTGACATACATGGTTTTGAAGTCCCCTAAAAGGGAAAATGAGAATAAAATTCCCCTAAAATGTATAAATAATAATTTAATCTCTCAAAATGGTATAATTTCTTTGAAGTTCTTTGGGACATTTCTATTATTAATGAATTTATATAAATTATTAAATTATTCTTGTTGAAAATAAATAATTCACAAGTTTTGTTTAAATATTCACAATTTTCCTTCTTGTATTTGCAACAATATAATAGCAAATCACAACTTCACATGTTAATTTTTTATTTATTGTTGCATTATTGCAATTATAAGAAGAAAAGTTGCGAATATTTAAAAAAAACTTGTGAATAATTTATTTTCAACAAAGGTAATTTTTTAATTTATATAAATTCATTAATGACATAAAAGTTTCTAAAGACTTCAGAGAAATTATAATATTTTGAGGGACCAACTTTTTATTTATACATTTTAGAGAGATTTTATTGTTATTTTTCCATGACCACCTCAAAATGCCATAATTTCCCTAATGTCCTTAGGAACTTTTTTATCATTAATAAATTTATATAAATTATCAAATTATTCTTATTGAAAATAAATGATTCACAATTTTTTTTTATATTCGCAATAATGCAACAATGAATCGCAATTTCGTATGTTAAATTATTTATCTGCTGTTACATTATTGTAAATATGAAAAAAATTGTGAATCATTTATTTTTAATAAAAATAATTTAATAATTTATATAAATTTATTAATGATAAAAAATTTTTAAAAATTTTAAAAAAATTATAAAATTTTAAAAAATTAAATTATTATTTATATATTTAAAAGGGATTTTTGTTGTCTTTTTTATTAATTATTATTATTATTATTATTATATAATAAACGTTATAATCAAAGTGGGGTCCACTTAGATTTGACATTAGCTGGGGGTGTTAAAGTACCTTTGGCAGCA